TAATACATAAACTGAAAACTTTATTATGCAATTTAGCGCGGTACCCTTACTAGAAAAAGCCGGCACGCAAGATGATCTAGCAAGAGTAATTAATATCGGTTCAGTTGACGGTAAAAACATTTTTCAAACACTTTCTTAAATTTTATTATCTAATAGATATTTCTCCAAGTAGGCAAAAGAGTCCCAGCTTTAGAAACCTACGCCTATTCGGCCTCAAAGGCCGCACTTCACCATCTAACTAATGTTCTAGCTGGTAATCTCTCACAACGTAATATTACCTTCAATACAATAGCGCCCGGTCCATTTGACACAAAAATGATGGCAGCAACTTTAAAAACACATAGTAATGGATTTAAAGACATAATCCCATTAGGTAGAATTGGTAATCCAGAAGATATCGCTGGGACCTGCATTTATTTATGTAGTAGAGCTGGCGCATATACTAACGGTGCTAATATTTCGGTTGATGGTGGATACTTATGCAGTAAGCCTAAATTGTGAAATTTATTTATTTATTTACCAGAATGTTGGTGGATAGAAGCTCGCTAAATTTTTGATATTCTAATACAATTTGTCAAAAAATGATTGAATAATTTTTTATGATAAGATATTCTAAATTTAAAGACTAAATAATTATATATATATCTGTTTCAAACTTAAAATCTTATAATTTTATAAAAAAAATTCATCACTGTTTAAACTACAAAACTACATATAACTTACAGTTTACTTATCAACCACAAAAGGCTTCTTCACTGGTAACACTAATTTTTCATTCCTTTTCCAGAAGTCTACTAAAGCAGTGGCAGTTCTTTCTGGCATATCTTCTTGGACCATATGTCCTGCTTCTGGTAATACCATTAGTTGATATTTTCCTACATTGGAAAAATACACGTTGAGTAAATTTGAAATAAATATAAATGGCAATAGAATAAATCAATCACCTTGCATTTGAGCAATTGTTAGCGGTTTATCTAATCGATCGGTGCCTAAATTATTACACAAAAATAATTACTACATAAATCTTTATCAATAAAATTTATTTTATATTTAAAATACCGGCAAGGATAAGTAATTTTGCAGCGCTAGAGGACAGAAATTTTTCAGATAATCCAGAAAACCACCCTGTAAAAAGGAAATTAAACATTCAATGTTCTTCATTTAAACATATGTAATATAAAGGATCAAACCTTTCCAATGTGGTTGCGCTACAGCTAAATCAGTCCTCCAAGTATATTTTTTTATGTTCGTACAAGTTTCTTGTTCAGTTAATAGACAAGGTATGGAAACTCTGGCCGATTTATGATTACGAATTGTACCTGACTTTATGCTACAATCGAACGGATAAGATAATGTAGACATTATACAAATTTCTGTTAACTCCTCTATTAGTTGTAATGAGTGTAAAAAAAACAATCGCAAAAGCGAAAAGTTTTTTGAAATTTGCAGACTATTAACCGAACTTATTACCTCCACGAAATCGCATCTTCTACGGTTTTGAATTCACTCGGTCTATTTCTACAAAAGTTTAGCATACCTGAAAGTGCTTCCATTGCAGACCCTAAATAATAAAAAACTTCTATGGAAACTTAAACGCATTCTCTTTAAGATTATTACAATAACAAACCTTCAACAACATCGATCACAGCCATACAAGTCACGGAAGGTATTAATTGTTTTGATGTTGCATCTGCTACAACGCAACCTCCCATACTAAAAACAAAAAAGGATTATAAAGTTATCTAAATTTAATAATATTTTTAATAATATAAAAATAAGACTACCTATGCCCCACCAAGAAAATTTCTCGGTCTGTTATAACATCATTTCCAAAAGCTGCTTT